GTAGAAGCAGGCTTTGGAAGAACAATAATGAATGGGGAAAAATTAACAGATCCATAGGTGTGACTGCTACACCACTGAATGGAAACAAAATATTTCTGAAGACAAAGTTGCCAAGCAAAATAAATATAATGCCATTCCTTGTTGTAGGAATGGATACTGTCAGTAAATTCATTAGGAATTGACTTTGAATGCCTTTCCACTTTCTGATTAATTCATCATTTTCCTGAGACACATCAATTACCACTCTGTCACATTAACTTTCTGAGAATGACCCATTATGTGACCTGAATGAAGGGAATCAGTTGGCAGAATGATTTAAGAAAACAAGCTTCCAAAGCTCTTCATGAGAGGCATGTCGACTAGTCCATGGGGCTTTGCTCAGTCGAATACTGACCACTTTTTCCAATAACATTTCACTCGAAAAAGTACTGTTTGCAATGGGAAATACATATACCGCACATCAACAGAATTAAGGCTTCACAAGCACAAGAATCTGTGCCATACATTGAAGAAAGCAAATCAGCCTTTATAGGATAGGTATCATGATTTTTTAAAAAATCATTGGGAATTGCAGTTCTACTTTTCTCCATTACAGCAAAATGATGACATATTTTGATAAATATTAGGTTATATGTGTCTGTTTCCTCTTTGGTTGTTTTGTTATGTTTTATCATTTTATGGTGGTCACAAACCCCACTTTTCATTTCCTTTTCTCTCATTCATCTTTTCTTATCCTCTGTCTTGAAGTTCAAAGAAGTGAACAAAGGGAGAAACGGGACAAGTAAGAGCTCAGAAAGGGATTAGAATTAGCAAAGTACATACAGCTGTTTATTTTTATATTTTTCTTTTCACCAGGCCCTGGAGAAGATGGTCCTTTCTAACACAGTCCTCCAGGTAGGGTTTTCTCACTCTAAAAGGACGAGCAACTTTCAGTGTCTTTAAGGTATTTTACACACAACTCTGTAATTTCTAGATAACCCACAGCAATGCATATTATTCTCATCCATAGAGCTGCAGATTAATTCTGCCTGGTGGCAGTGCAATTTATGTCCTTACCCCTCACGGAAAAAATCAGTTTTGCATCTATTAACCAAATTCATTTCAGCATTCCTGGTTGTCCCTTGTCTGATACTTAGATACTTCTCTCAACTGGCTATAACATCTTACTGGTTTCTTCAGGAATGAATGGATTAAATAAAACCTTTCACATGTGTTCATTTTATGCCTATATGAGATTTATGAATTTAGCATTTTTAAATGATTATATTTAATGATTATTAATTGAATAATATGTTAATCTGATTATGTTATTTGGAGATGCTATTTTACTAATTTAAAATATTTTATTTTATTATTCTTCATAACATGGAAACTCAAAAAGTAGGAGTTAAAAAAAGTATTAGTAATTTCTTTCCACATTACAGTATGACATGAACACCCTACTTTAGATATCACCATAACTTTTAATACACTTCAAATTTTTAGTGACATTGATCTTGTGAAAGAAAATGAAGAACATTTTTTAACAAATATTTCAGGTAACTGAATTCAAATTTGCTGACTGCCTGGAATATGTTTTTAAAAATATGAAATATTAATGATACCAATGTATGTGTTTCTGTATATTCATAAGTGGATTTTTTTTAATGTTGTATGGAGATACACAGACTAATGATCAGGCATCGCCAGTGGAGTCAGAGTTTCAGATGTAGCTCCATGGTTCTCCTCTTAAACCACACACTTTGATTCCTTTTCCAAAGCTATTCTCTTAGCTGTTTTCCAAAGCTATTCTCAAGCATCTTTGCCATCATTTAAAATGCAGCTTCATTCTGATAAGAGTATCCTCAGTACTGCTGCAGAAGGTCCATTATCAGGTATCAGTTGCTCTGTCGATTATACTAAAGCCATGGAACAGTGCAACTATTACCCAAAACAATGACAAACCAAAAGATCCACATGCTGAAGTTGTTCTAGAAAAGTCTGTGGCAGTGGTTTATGCTTTAAAAATAATTTGCTACTACTAGAGTAATAATTTTCCAATCTAGCCATTAAAAATTCAGGTATACTGCTTTTTATTAATTGTAAAAAATTGATACACACATAGCCTTAAACATAAGCTATAAAAGCAACTACCAGATGGAGATTTATGTGATGAAATCACTCGTGTGAGGAAGAATCTTTGTCTTTAAATTAATAGTACAATTTAAAATTGAAAGCCATTTTCTTTAAAAATGCATTCCTTATAATACTAAAGCCAAAAACACTATGTAAAAGTCCTCCCCTCCCAAATAAGTAGGATTTATAAAAATTTCATTGAATAATGAGATTGTTAAAACTCAAGAAATTAACAAAATTTATTGACATGGAGATTTCTGTGAGCAGCAAGTAGAATTGTATCTGCCACAGATATTTGTTAAATGTGATTAGATGTAAATATAATGTGGTAAGATACCTTACATCTCTTTTAGAGGCCAATGATGAGTGATGTTTACAGTTGTGTCTCTTATATGCCAGCACCTATTTGCCCATCTCACTCATATATTGTACTTTTATGCATTTAGATATCTGGTAATTCAATAGGGTACTTATATACATACATATACGTGTTTCTCCTTTATGGTACTTATGCACATAATTTTATACATATAGATTAGTTTTCATTGAAATGTTAAAACCACAATTTAGCTTTGTGTTATAATGACATCTATACTATTCCCTGGCCTTTGGCATGTTCCATATGCAGCTTTGATTCATTTGACATTTGGGGACATCTGAATCTTGATATTTTGACCTATGGGGATCTCTGTGGCACCAAGGATTTTGACCAACAGCTGCTCCATGACAAGTAATTATTTTGGTTTAAGTGGTGAGTCTGAATTCTTAATGAAGATTGTAAAATATTGCTAACACCTCCTCCCAGCCATCAAAATGATATACACTTAGGGAACAGTCTTCTGATTGATGAGCACACACACTGAGTTGTTCAGACCTTCCAGAATCTTCCCAGTTTCCAAGGTCTGTTCAGTTCTAGGCCAAAGAACTACATTGGTCCCAAAGAGCCCAGGTCTAAAGTTAGGGTGGCCTGTTAACAGGACAAGCAATTGGCATATATACTAGGTCCAAGCAGACCCCAATCAGCCCTCATATTTCCTAAATGACACACTTTATGCTATAACAGTTTGATATAACTAGAAAGGCATCAAAGTGGAATAGAGTGAATTACTTCTTTATCCACTTTACTCTTAGCAATCATCACAATGTAATACTGATAACAATTTATGTGTATATTGTTACACATAGATATATTGTGTATATCTCCCCAGACAGACTCTAAGCCCATGCTAGGCAGGATAAAGATTCATTCATCTTGGGACTTTCTTGGTGGCGCAGTGGCTAAGAATCTGCCTGCCAATGCAGGGGACACAGGTTCGAACCCTAGTCTGGGAAGATCCCACATGCTGCGGAGCAACTAAGCCTGTGAACCACAACTACTGAGCCTGCACTCTAGAGCCCACGAGCCACAACTACTGAGCCTGTGTGCCACAACTACTGAAGCCCACGCGCCTAGAGCCCATGCTCTGCAACAAGAGAAGCCACCGCAGCGCACCGCAACGAAGAGTAGCCCCCGCTCGCCGCAACTACAGAAAGCCTGCGCACAGCAATGAAGACCCAATGCAGCCAAAAATAAATGAAAAAATAAACTCATTCATTTTCACATCACCAGCATCTAGAGCAGTGACTGACACAGAGTATAATATAAATAAATGCTTGTTCTGTTCAAGTGAACCAAAGGGAAACAGATATTTTGATGACCAAAACTTGTTCCATAATCGAAACAATTGTGCTTTCACAATGGCAATCTGCAAAAATTTCTCTACAGATTTATCAGTTGTGTACATGTCAGAACGATACACCGTTACGGATGGTTTATGAATCCGTATAATAGAAAATTATGATCACTGACCATAACAGTTAACTTTAGTTATTTGCATTGCCAAGTCATGAAACACTAATCCAATTTAATCTTGCATTTGCAATAAATCCCTAAAATCACAAAGAATAAATAATGTAGAATTCAATTTTTCTGCCCATTTAGCTACTAGAGCTCATATGAGTATGAACTACTTACATAACTCAAAAATATGAACTTTTCAAACTCACTTTTAACTCACTGTTAAAGGAATTGAGTGAAAAAAATACAATTGTGCATTAAGGTACTATAGATACTTTCATGGAAGAAATAGAAACAAGCTGTATATGTTTTGTGGCATATTGACACTAAAACACATAAATTACAACTGCCACTAAGAGAATATTTTAAAAATCTAAAAACCATTTATCAAAAATTCCCATCCATAGCAGTAAATATGTCTGTTGGCTTTAGGACAAAACAATTCCAAAACAACCTAAATTTCCCAAAGTCAAAATCTGAATTTAATTCTGGTTTTAACATTTATGTCATAGCCTATAAAGGCTATTTGTAACACGATGTGTTTAATTGACTCAAAAATAATTTTTCTGAGACTAACTAAAAAGAAACCAAATAGGAGTGAACCAGCTACATTTAAATGTTTATGCAGATACTTACCATAGCTATTGACAAATGCTTATTACATAGTTGCCCAAACTAATGGAGAAATATACTCGTTGAAAATAAGATCAGTTGCGTGGAAAACTGAGACAAAGCTGTAACAGGAAACCAAACACAAAAAGGTTCATCCCTTACTTCATGTTTTTCTTCCTTTTGGAAAAGCTTGAAACTCTCAGATTTGTCATATTTTAACATCTTCATACAAAATTTGTCACACTCTCTTTTCCTATCATGAACATTTTATATATTTTTTATATTACAATGGGAAAAAATCAAACTATCAGATATGAGATAGTACAAAAGAAAATATTCAGATTTGAGGTATGTGAAAGTTAAAGCAGCATCTACTAGACATCAGGGCAGGAATATACAGAAAGTGAGAACATCTGCTTCCAAAGAGTGCCCATACCTTGTTTTTTTCCTGTAGTTCAATTTGTGATTTCTTGAAATCAGGACCTGGAGAGTTTGCAATTAATCTATTTTTCCTATCCAGGAGCTCTTCCATGTCTTTCACTTGGAACTTTAGCCTTCTATTTTCTCTTTCCAGTCCTAGTTTTTCTGTTTCAAGTATCTCCCTCTTGTCCCACTCGGATGTATTTTCAGCCTGCAATCTCTCTAGCTAAACACAGAAAACACAGAAAAGCAACAGCATTTGTAATTGCCAAAAGGCCAGGCACCCATCAAACAGGCGTCCACTAAGGAAGGTTCATGGATATGTCCATTTATACAATTTTTAAAAAGAAAACTCTATTTGTCTGAAAAGTTGAGGACAACACAAAAGTCCTAAGACCCATGCCCTAAATAAATATACCTGCCTTCTTGGTTATGGCAGTATTTCTATAACCAACCAGACCATATTGTCAAATAAATACGTTAAGTGGAAAACTGATAATATTTTGTCAATAATCTCCACTCAATTGATGAACATTTATCAGTTTAGAAGGCACAAAATCATTTCTTGGGCAATTCTGGTTGGATGGATATAGTTCATGTATTCATTTACTCATTCATTCAGTTATTTACTATAGCTTTCAACTTGTAGGCACTGCAAATAAAGACAAGTGAATGTAATAAAACATCATAAATGCCATGATTAAAGTACTATACAATCGGGCTTCCCTGGTGGCGCAGTGGTTGAGAGTTCGCCTGCCGATGCAGGGGACACAGGTTTGTGCCCCGGTCCGGGAAGATCCCACGTGCCGCGGAGCGGCTGGGCCCGTGAGCCATGGCAGCTGAGCCTGTGTGTCCGGAGCCTGTGCTCCGCAACGAGAGAGGCCACAACGGTGAGAGGCCCGCGTACCAAAAAAAAAAAAAAAAAAAGTACTATACAATATAATCAAACTCACCTGAGTGAATGGCCAATTTGATTTTCAGGGAATAGAGATTGGCAACATGATTAAAATATGAGGTATTTTTAAACTATTTGTTATGGATAAAGATTGAAAAATACTTATTTTTACACTTAGTTTTAAATGGCTTGATGGCAAAGTATTGAACAGTATTATACTATTTTAAAGTAGTTCTCATGACATTTTAAATTCTAAAAGAGAAGTCAACATTAAGAAACTGTTAGACTTCAATAATATCTTTGGAAATTAATTCTGATTAAAAAAGTCTAAAAACTGCTTTTTCATACACATATAATTGTGCCATTATTGTCAAAAATGTTCTGTTCCCAAATCTAAGTGAGGCTTTAGCTTCTTAAAAACAAGAAATTAAAATTACATTCTTGGCACTAGACCTTGTTTATCAATTAAATATAATAGACTAAGGGATCAAATTTTAGATGACGTGATTTGACATTTGGGATGCCTGTTTGGGATATGAGGTGAAAACAGTATTTCAAAATGCAATTTAGAACATGACATGTCTTTAATTATTAAGATTAATGCTTAAACTTTTTGACTAACATCACATCACTTATCAGAATGAAAATAATAAAGTTGTAATAAAAGTCACCAACTTAGTGATGAAAAATTAATTTTAGGAGAATAAATGTACTCTTGGTCAAGGACAAATACAATGCTATGTCAAGTCTTTGTAAAATTTTAGGCATTTAAAAGAAATTGCTGAAGTCAGTTTTATACCTAATAACAGATAAGAGGTACAAATAGGATTTTAAATAAGTAATAGATGGTTTGAATGAGTAAACTCTAAATTAAAAAAAAATAATTGAAGAAAGGAATTATATTAACAGTAATGACAACAAAGCTTAAATAATGATGTGTGATTATTTACTATTTGAAGATTTTTAGTGACATGCCAATTATCTGATAAATTTAGGTATATAACACATATCAAAAAAAGTAAAGGTTTTGTGAAAATTGGATCATAAATATTATTAGCAGTTTTATTTTTGATTTCATTTTTCAAAATTCTTTCTTGTAAGATTATTCTTTTCTAAGAATCATACGAAAATCTACCACCTTAAAAGCCATTCAATTAAATGCAAGTTAAAATGATGAAGGAAAGATCAGGTAATATTTTAAACTTTCATGTTTTTTTGTAAGCAATTCTAATAACTGATCAAACTGAAATGGAATTCCATTGATTTGCTTCCAATGATCAAGAGAAACATTCTAGAACATTTTAATTCTAACTCTAATATGCTATGAATTTTAACTAATAGTGGGTACTACTCTTAAATGAATTTCAGGTAATACAGGAATTATTGAAAAATATTTTCTAAAAACTTTTAATGTAGAAGTATATTCTAGCCAGAGTAAACACTAAAATATTTGTTGATTTAATGACCTCCAATTTTATGAATATTAAACATTGAGAAAATATATAAATATCCAACTATTCAGCTGTTTAACAAATATTTATTGAGTATCTTTCAGGCACTGGATATACTGTTGTCAAAATACAAGTATATATATAAGTATAAATTGGGCAACATCTTGTAAAGGAGAAAAAGCCCTGGATGCTATGGGAAAGACCTGCAGTAAATTAAGTAATCAGAGGAGGTTATTTGAAGAAACAATACTTAAGCTGAAACCTGAAGTTTAAGAAGGCAGAGAGGCAGAATCAAGCTAAGAGTATCTCAATAAAGGGAAATAGGAAATAGGTTTGAACATTATAAGATCCAAGAGTCCAATCATGAAGTATTAGGAGTTCAGGAGAATAAGTATGAAAACAGGTAGTCACTGATGCTTAAAAGTAAGGGTGAATTTAAGAATCGTTTGAGTTCCTTGTGAAAAAATGTAATATTGTGGTTATTCCCAAGGATGAAATATTGGGTCATTTATTTTATTTATATAGATATATATGTATATGTTTATGTGTTTGCTTGCTTCCTTCCTTCCAGTTTTACTGAGATATGATTGACATACAGCACTGTACACATTTAAGGTGTGCAGTGTAACGATTCAGTCATTTCTAAACATATTCATCTATAAGCTCGATCTTTATGAATTGTCATTGCTTGATACTGCTGAAAGGACATCAATAATAGACTGCAGTGAACTCGATAACTAGAATGTAAGTTTTATGAAACCAGAACCGTGTCATTTTGCTCATCAGCCTGGCACCTGACATGTGCTGTGTCAGTGCTTCATAAGGACCTGTTGAGGGGAAAAAGCTCCTCTGTATTGCAATTACAACAATTGTGCACAAAGTGAAATTAAGGTAGCATCCTAGAAGAGCCAGTTATTTACTCACTATTACTTAATACCAATAGAATTTCTCAGTACATTTACTCTTAACTCTTATTAATGCTGTCATGGCTGCGTTGCATTTTGTGATAGGTAAATACAGCGAGGTAAAGAGAGGATTTTCAGTAAAATGACCTAGAATTGAGTCTCAATTCTTTTTATCCTGAGAGCCTCTATTTTTCATTTATAAAATATGGAAAATATTTCCTACAGCTTAGTGTTATGAGGCAGTAATTATTTAGGGAAAATAGTTATTAAACGTTCAAACTCAACACAAATATTTCCTGTCATAAATTTGTTTTCTAAAGAACAAAACATACCAACAGCCAATTCAAGTAATGACAGGTGAAATAGTGTATTATTTTTCATCATGTTTTATCAAAATGGCATCTTGTAAATGGACCTTTTCAATGGAGAAAAACCCCAACAGAATGCACAATATGGTGTTCTGCAGGCCAGTGAAGTGCCACCTAAAAACAATGTGCATGTTCCAGTAATTGATTGCAAATATTCAGAATTTTCATTTCAGACAAGTCAGCTATAAAACCTCATTACAAGCACTGTGATTTTGGAAGTAAGAGGTAAAAAGTAGGAATCTTGTTATTTCCTAGCAGTAGGAGATGATTACCCTTTTACTGAAGACCTAATATATTCCTGGTAAAGAGCTATATAGGTTATTTCTTATCCTTACAATAATCCTGTAAATTTGTATGTGCTACACAGGAGGAAACTGGAGTTCTAAAATTAGAAGTAATTCTCAAGGTGGGCAAAGAGTCCAAGCCATGGTTCACCTAAGGTGTTTCTCTGATTCCAGTCGTGAGGTCACTCCACCCGCACCACGCTAACAGATAGCCACTGATGTATGCATATCCCCTTGCCATAGCAACCAACACACTCTGAATCCATTGTACTACACTGCAGCAAAGATTTTGTTGATGTTTTTCTTTTGTTTTGATATATTTTGGGGATTTTGATCCTTGCTTCGTTGCAAATTAACTCAGGAGAAGTGATTCTGTAGACTCACATTCAAAAGTCTGGAAACTGAAACCTAAATGCAGTGTGCATATTGCTGATGTCACCCCTCCCCCTCCCCTGGATCTTTTAACACTCATCCTCTAAGCATGTCATGGAATCACAAATAAGAAGTGGGGACACCTCCTCCTAAATCACTCTACTTCCCTCCTGTCCACAGTTAACTATAGCTCAGTGATAGCTCACTCCCTCTTTTACCAAAAGTCAACAGAGCCATGACTAATTTTAGCAATAGGTAATGTCATGTGTATTTTAGTTGCTTTAATTTCATTTAAAATCCTTGGAGAATTTCTAAAAGTAAGGAGTTCTAGAACTAATTTGAAACTAAATGTATGTCTAACTTAAATACAGGGAGAGGGATCCACATGCAGAAACAATTACTCTAGACACTAAACCTGAACAGAAATTAACCCAAAATGGATCACAGACCTGAATGTAAAGTACAAAACTATAAAACTCATAGAAGATAGATAGCCTAGGAGAAAATCTAGATGACCTTCGGTTTGGTGATGACTCTTTAGATACATCACCAAAGGCATGATCCATGAACGAAATAACTGATAAGCTAGACTTCATTAAAATTAAGAACTGCTCTAGAAAGACAATGTCAAGAGAAAGAGAAAACAAGCCACAGACAAAATATATTTGCAAAATATATCTAATAAAGAACTGTTATCCAAAATATACCAATAACTATGTAAATTCAACAATAAGAAAACAAACAACCCAACTAAAAATGGGCCCAAGACTTATGGATAACAGACATCTCACCAAAGAAGGTATACAGATATCAAATAAGCATATGAAAAGATGTTCCACATCATATGTCATCAGGAAAGTGCAAATTAAAACAATGAGAGGGGTGGAGTCCAGATGGTGGTGTGGGAAGATGCGGAGTTAACATCTTCCCACAACTAGGGTGCCTGCTGGC